AAGTTTTAAAATATTTGTATTTATTTTTAATTACAAAATAAATAAAATGCCAAATATTAAATGTTTAAAATTATTTAAAACGTATAAAATTTATTAAAGTAATTTTCATTTTAAATTAAAGAGCATTAAAATCTAAGCAATTTGATATATTATACTAATTTTTTTGAATAAAATTGAATTTATTTTGATTCTTTAAAGAAAATTGCAATTAAAAACACTTAAAATTAATTTAAAAAGAATTAAATCAAATTGACGCTGACATCAGCGGGAGGACACGCAACAACTTCGAGTTTACAGATGAAAACTACGGTAATCTTATGCAAGCGAGGGGATTAATGACCAATGATTGTGTCACGACAATCATTGGCCATTAATACCAAATGGCAGCGGTGACAAACGCAGTTTTACTTATCTGTGCAGCAGTTTCCACCAACCGTAGGATTCCCACGTTTTGGGATCAACAGCTTTGATCAAGTCAGACCCAGGGATTAACTAAGGGATCGAACACGCGGTTAATCGGAACTATGGAATGACATGATCTGGACCATTGATCGAAAGATCAATAGTTAAAAAAAAGTACACTTAAAGCAGATACAAAAGATGCTCTAGAAATGATATTTTAATTCATTCTTTGAAAATACTTAACTATTCAACTTAAAATTTAAAACAGAGAATCCATAAATAAAGAGCATTAGTGGGGGTATGATTTTATGATATAATATGCACTTAATAGAAAGCTAATTAACCGTAAGTGTCTTAAGCTAGGATTAAGCTTTTTACCTAATCCAACCAATTAGATTTTGGTGATTTTGGTTTCTCTGAAACTGTAGTCTGTCCACCAACTTTTCCTAGTTAAAATGACATTCTAAAACACTCTAGATTGAAAGCTCTTGAGGTTGGATGGACTTTAGCCTGAGTTCGCTAGGAAGCTCGTCACTGACGAATTCTAATGCCGGATTCGACTTGGGTAAACTCGAGTGATGGTTGGAGTGTTTAAATGAAATGAAAGGGGGCACTAGGAGGTAGGGAATGGTGAAAGAATGCTATGGTTCAAATGAGGGCCATTGATCCTGTTTTGGTCAATTCAAACGACTAAGTTTAGATTACTTTCGCTCGACTCCTAGATGATTACCAAGTGTCCTAGTGTAGTTAGCAGTAGAGGGCAAGGACAAGGGAAAGAAATCTAGGTGTAAAGTGGGATTTGCCATGTTTTGAGCACATGGGATCATTAAAACTGATTTAAACCTAATACAGAGATTAGGATTAGTTTGATAATATTCTAAAGATTGTTTGAAATGGCTGGAATAGCTTTATATGGGGTGAAAGGGGTTTGGGAGGTTGTTTGACCACTTTTAACTCATTCTTAGGCTTGAGTTGAATGTTTGACAGGTCAACCATGTAAATGATATTCATGTGGATTTTAAGGAAACTATTGGAGCTATTTGAATCAAATTAGGAGGAATCAAAGGTGTTAAATTTGGAACATGAATGAATACATAAATGGTTTGACTATGGGCTAGAGTTGACTTGGTCAAAACCCTCATGGCTTGACTTACCATTAGTTGATTGGCTTTGAAGCCAACCATTAAAACAAGTTTGGAAGCTTAATGGGTTTCACGTGGTTTGCTTTAATTTGTAGCATTGATTTTACCCAATTGGGTTAAGTTTGACTGGACTTGGGCTCAATTGACTAAGTTAGTTGTTGACTTGGTCAAGGTGACCAGTCAACCACAAATTAGTAAGGAAAGTAGTCAAGGGAATTTGAATGAGATTTGAATTCATTTGAGGCTTGATTTAATATAAAAGGGTTTAATGTTTGATTTGGTCAACCCTATTTGACTTTGTCAACCAGGTTGACCAAGGTCATGGGTTTAGGTTCAACAGATTTGATTTGATCAATATAGGCTAATAGTGGTGGTCTCATGAGTCAGCATGGTCATTTAAGCCAGAATGACCATTTAAACCTTTAAAAGGTTATTTCATCAACATAGGTTGACTTGGTCAACTAAATTGACCCAAAGCCTGAGTTTGAGCTCAACAGATTTGTTTTGACATTTTAGGTTGAATAGAAGTTGTCTCGTGCAAGGATGAGGTCATTTGGATTGAAATGGTTATTCGAACCCCTATGACATATTTTGGTCAAAATAGGTTACCTTGGTCAAACATGCTTGACCAGGATCTAGACTTGAGTCCAATGCACTCCTAATGGTGTATAGGAGGAATTAAAGAAGGTTTCTAGGTTTTATTTGAATGGTCCATGTTGAAGTTTGGAGGAAACTTTAATTTTTCCCTTAAATAGCATTTTAGTCATTTTAACCCCTGGTCATCTATGGATCAAACTAGGTCCACCAAAATACATTTTGATGCTTAAAATGTTATAGTTAAGGGTCTGGATGTAATCAAAGGTCTTGGAGAATGTCACAAGGTCAAAATTCACAAGGTAGAGGGTCATGTGACATAAGTTGTAAATATTTGAAGGTTTTACACCTTTTGAAATATTTTTTTTTTTTAGTTCGAGACCTCAGATTGAGTTGAAAATTTGAAAGTAGACCATAGGGATATACCTAATCAAAATTCAACTAATATATTATGAATCATAAGTCATTTGACTAGGTTTTGAAGAGATTAAAAAATCACTCGAAAAAGCTTTAAGGACATAAACCTTTAACTTCGAATTTTGGTCTGAATTTTTGGGTTTGAGCTAGGTTGAATTTGAATTATCCAAATCAATCATAATCATTATAATTATTATAAGTGATTGGATAGGATTGAAGTTTGATAGGAGGATGGATCAAGTTTTGATTGAAGTCTGGGTTAAAGACTGGAGACTTGAAGTCAGGATAGATTTGAAGCTTTTATTGATTTCAAATTTGGATTTATTTATGATATGGATTAAACTTGACCTACGTCCACACCTCAGAGTCTTCCTCTCCAAGTATTGCACTAAATCTTTTAATATCTCTCCTTTTGTCTGCACACCTCAGAGTCCTCCTTTTCAAGTATTATACCAAACATTTTAGTATTTATCATTTTGGTCTGAATTTTTTGGGTTTGAGCTATGTTTGAATTTGAATTATCCAAATCAATCATAATCATTTAAATTATTTTAAGTGATTGGATAAGATTGAAGTTTGATAGGAGGATGGATTATGTTTTGATTAAAGTCTAGGTTTAAGATTGGAGACTTGAAGTCAGGATAGATTTGAAGTTTAAATTGATTTCAAGTTTGGATTTATTTGAGATCTGGATTGAACCTTGACCGACGTCCACATCTCAGATTCTTCCTCTCCAAGTATTGCACTAAATCTTTTAATAACTCTTTTTTTTTTCTGCATACCTCAGATTACTCATTTCCAAGTATTGCACTAAATTTTTTAGTATTTATCATTTTTTCCGCACAATAAAGCAAAGAAGCCTTTACAAGAATCACTTCCACCAACAGTGCAACTGAAAATAAAATATTTCTTCTTCTCTAGTGCGGCAGAGTAGTTGAATCTCTTTTACCTTCTCTAGTGCGGTAGAGTTGTTGGTGGCCCTTTGACTCAAATAAATTCTTCTCGAAACTTCCTTTAAGAAAACTTTGAGAAAAGGAGCAATTAGGAGGATGATGATTGAGTGCTTCTTCTTCTTCTTTCTTTCTTTCTTTCTTTCTTTCTTTCTTTCTTTTTTTTTTATTTTTTTTGAGGAAAACCCATAGAGGGTGTACGTGTTTATTAAAATAAAAGGTTATCGGGTCCTTAAAAGTGATGAAAAATTCAATATAAATACTCATTGAGTTACAAGAAAAAAGAAAAATACGACCTAAGGAATCTAAGATCCCTTACTAGTTACAGATTAATAATGGACGTTTGGCATGAACCAAAGCCAAAATAAGGATCAACATTAGAGAATTCAATGAAAAAGTCATTGGATGTGATCGCTTGCAAAAGGAAATACATAAAGCAAGAAATGCCAAACCTCCAAGGAGAACACACCCAATAGAATGAACACCACTAGTTCGAAACCTACACAAAAAAGGCCTCAACAAGGAAATAATTAAAAACAAATCCAAAAACCAACCATAAAGATGGCAATAATAAAATAGCATCACACTACCTACACACACCAATAGGAGCAAACCCATTGAAATTCATAGACAAAATTACTATCCACCAATAAGGCAAAAGCAAGCAACCCACTAGACTAGCAAAAAGCTCCAAAAAAGTTAAAAGGCACCAAAAATAAACACAACCCACAAAAACAAGTAGACTAATGAAGGAACAATGGAAGGTATGTACAATATAGCTTATAAATGTGTAGTAATTGAATTTATGAACAAGCAATGTTTCAAGTTGCTTTCATATTGCCCATCTTAATTTATCTTGGTCATTCGAAAATTTTACATATCGATCATACTGACAACGATTCTATCTGTTAGAGTGATTATAGATATTTCACTTTTAAAATGATTATTTTCTCTTGATGTTATGCTTTATATTTATTCTACTTTTAATGTTTGTTATAAAACTTTTTACCATGATATTTTCATTGATTTTGAGAAAGAAACTAAATTAAACTCTTCTATGATTGATGGTTTAGTCATAATTTTTAACTTTAAAAATTAACTTATGAGCTATGAAAAGGGATGAAAATGTTTTCCTCCCTCAAAATTTTAGTGAGTGGCCAATGAGTTATTTTATGGAAATATCGATCAAACAAGCCACACAATTTTTAATGCTAAGAACTAACTATGAACATAATCAAAACACTATCCCATTCTTTGAGTTTTATATTTTTATTTTAATTTGTTCAAGCAACACTTCAAATTTCTCTTAAATATCAATAAAATTTTGCCATTATTTTCACTTGGGAGTATTACTATAATTGTTCAATAAATTTATAAAATAAAATATTTTTTATTTATTTATGAGTAGCATAATTTCTAATAAAAAATAACATTATTAGTTTATTACTAGTCTTTATTCCCCCATGGCTTCCCCCTTCTCTTCCTTTTACCGCTTTCCAAAATCAAAAAGAACGTGGCCATGGAACCTACTCGACAAATTATTCCTTTCTTCCTTCCAATCCCCACCTATATATAAATGTAGGACTTATTTTTTCCACTATATAGAAAGAGAGACACGAGCTAAATGCTAGAGACAATACGGTACCTTATTGGTTCGGCCGGAAGTAGCGGCTTCGGGTCCAAGTCGACGGCGGAAGAGGTCACCGAAGCATCGCCGGACCTCCGATCTATCACCGCCATCATCACTGGTAAAATTAATAACCCTTGTACCTTTTCAAGGTATAAGAATCCAGTTTCGAACTTTTTTTTACTATTTTGCCAGGAGCGACGTCGGGGATTGGGGCAGAGACGGCCCGCGTGTTGGCTATGCGCGGGGCGAGGCTGGTGATTCCGGCGAGGAACCTCAAGGCGGCGCAGGAGACGAAGGCTCGTATCAACGCCGAATTCCCTGGATCTGAGGTCATTGTGCTTCTTCTTGACCTCAGCTCGTTTTCCTCTGTTCGATCCTTTGTGGCCAGATTCCTCTCTCTTCAGCTTCCGCTCAATCTCCTCATGTAACTAATTTTCATCCCTGCTTTCTAAACTACTGGGAAAGACTGAATTCCGTGTTTTCCGTGTTTGATTATTCTTTTTTTTTTTTCCTTTTTTCTTTTGGGATCAGAAATAACGCGGGAAAATTTTCGCATAATTACGCATTATCTGAAGATGGAATCGAGATGACCTTCGCCACCAATTATCTCGGTAAAAAACTATGGTGAAGAAGTTTATCCGTTGAGTAGCTAAATCAACAAAACTCATTTTTTGATCATCTTTGGATTAGGCCACTTCCTGTTAACGAAGCTTCTTATGGAGAAAATGACGGAAACGGCTAGGATTACCGGAATCGAAGGCCGAATCATAAACGTCTCTTCCGGCATCCATGCCTGGTTTACCGGCGACGGTCTCCGCTATCTTGATCTGGTCACCTCCAAGAAAATGTGATCCCCACGCCTTTATCCCTTTTCTTCCGCTCCTTTATCTTAAAATATCAGTTAAAAAGTCATGATTCGTTTCGTCGGGATCTGCAGACCCTACAACGGCACTCGGGCGTACGCGCTCTCCAAGCTTGCGAACGTTCTCCACACGAAGGAGCTGGTAGAGAAGCTCGAGGTAATTAATTGCAGAATTCGATGGTTCGATTCCCGATTACACATACCATCGATCGACCGATCGATCTGAGAATATTTTTCTGATTATAGGAAATGGGTGCCAATGTTACGGCGAACTGTGTTCATCCCGGTATCGTTCGAACTCGTCTCATCCGCGACCGCGAGGGTTTCCTCACAGGTGATCGATCGATCAACTGATCCTTCACAAATCACAAGGTTTTTCTGATTTTGTTTCGGGTCAATGATTCCTTTCTCCGGTTTTCAGATCTTACATTCTTCCTCGCATCGAAGCTTCTGAAGACGATTCCTCAGGCAGCGGCAACGACGTGCTACGTTGCGGCAAGCTCAGCGTTGGCTGGAGTGACTGGAAAATACTTTTCTGATTGCAATCTGGCGTCTCCTTCGGCTGCAGCGGGAAGCTGGCAGGAGGCAGCGAAACTGTGGTCGGCGTCGGAGGAGATGACGGCAGTGAAGCAAATGCCGGAGCTCGATAAGGCGACGTGATAAGTTCGAGTGTATATATTAAACACGGCGATGGGGTAGCATATATAATGAAGTTTTACGGCAGAATAGTGAGTTTTTTTTTTTTTTTTGGAAGGCTGAGAAATTATTATGTGCGGATACTATACGGTTAAGAGATCAATCAAAATGTATCATGTTATTCAGTGCACAACGGTATCACGTATCGGTATTGAACAAAAAGTGATGCGGCGAATTCGGATTGGTCTCCAGACACCATCTGATATTAGCACAGAATAATTTTTCTACGAGTCCCAGAAGGGTTGAGATTTTGAGTAATTTCTCCCTATGATTCCGGTTACCTAATATTATATATATATATTCGAAACCATTAATCCTAACTAAATAATTCTCTAAAAAGATATGGATGTTAAAATTGTATTAGTAAAGCATTGCAATAGTAAAAGAGGCATATGAAGAAACATCTAATTATTTAATAAATATGATTTGACGATCTTTAGTACATTTGTGTCGTTTTATTGTGGTTCATTGTAATAGTTTGGGATAATCTTTTTATTATTTTTTAAAAAAAAAAATTAACAAAAAAATTCTTAAATTAAATAGCTTTTACTAAAAAAATTATTTTAAAAAATAAAAAAAAAATCACAAACGAAAATAGCTGCACTATGAAATTAATCAAGTAGGGGAGATTAGAATCATGTTAGGTGGGTGGTCTTCTTATCATTTTATTTTTCTTTTTTTCTTTGAATATAATGAGTGCCAGGACTTGGAAGAGAACGAATCTAGGGTTGGGATCTGGCTAGGTCCACTTTATAATTACGATAGAAAAATCATAAAAAATGGGTTTGTGTCATTGGCATTGCTAGGATGCCAGGTTCAGATTCATCTTTTTTGCTCATTTATTAAAAGTGTCAGGTTCAAGTCAATTGGAATCGAATCTGTTAATTTTCAAGTTGAGTTGTATTGGACCTGCTAACCCGTTTAATTACCTATAATATGGGGTCGTACAAGCAGAGTTGAGATTATGTCAAAGTCAAATAAATTTGATTAATTTTAAATAGAACCAAATTTAATTCGGACTCACTACTTTACAATGGGCTACAAAATAATATTAAATTAACATGTGAAATATTTCTAATGAAGAAGAACATTTAATTCTCTGTTATTATCATGGTAATATGCAGTTGCCGATTCCAATAATTTAGTTCGTTTTGGATAATTAGGATTGTATTAAAAGCATGATTGTTCTCAAAGTGAATTCAATGATTAAAAATAGTAATTATCTGAATTATTGAAGTAAATACGACATTATTACCAAATTAGCATATCTTCTCTTATCTTTAATGGGGTTTTAATCATCGGTACTTTTTTTTTAAATTTAATTTTATCTATGAGGATTTTAATACCCAAGTCATTGGGATTAAAATACTTAACATATTTTTATACCATTCATAAAGTAATATTTCCTTGGCTACTCTTAAGTTATTCATTACTTAATGCTTTATTTGTGTAGCAATGATTTCCTTGTTCGATTAGTGTTGTGAAAAATAATTGTCAATACAAGAATAAATTATCCAACTATGAGGGATCGACCAAATAAATCTTTTTTCTCCATTGTGTTATATTAAGAATCAAATTCTGATTTAAATCTTATGAAAAAAAGTCATTTCTAATATTTTCTAACAAAGTGTTTTTAGGTCTACCTTTACCTCTTTTAATATAGGTCAAATCTAATACATCTATTCTCCTAACCGTGTCATCAATAAGTTAATATTTTATGTGACTAAACCATTTCAGGCGACTCTCACTAATCTTATCTGCCATTGGAGCTACTCCAACCTTTACACATATATGCTTGTTTTACATTCTATCTCTAAGAGTAAAGCCACTCATCCACCTCAGCATCTTCATCTCTCCAACACTTACTAAATTGTATTCTTCACTTTTAATGGCCAATATTCTGCACCGTAAAGCATTGCAGTCTCACCACCATCTCATAAAAATTTCCCTTAAGCTTGAGGGAAACTTTTTTATCACACAATAAACCCAATACATCCCTCCACTTTGACCGTCCAACTTGAATTCTACTAATAACATCCCCATCTACTTCATCATCAATTTGGACAATAGAAATTAAAATAATTTTCAATGACAATGCTAATAGAATTTGAAAGGATTAAATGCTTTAGATTGATAGAATTCCATAAACACAGTCAATTAAATTAAATGATTAATTGACCAACTTATAGATTTTGTCATCTTAGAGATCTTCTGATATTGAAATTAGTGACTTGATTTGAACATAAATAAGTGCTGAAAACAAATCAATAGAAGTTTTTCTTAGGGTTACTTTGTGTAGAGGAGATGAGCCTCTTACTTTTGCTTCTTGGAGGATATTATAGACTCTTGGATGAAGTACTGTTAAACTTTTGAGAAACTATTGGATACATAATCCACCTTGCCTCTGAAACCAAATGTGGACCAATGAGCCTCTTTATTAAGGGCATCGATCTTAATCATTTAGTTGATCAAATAGTTGAGATCTAAGCCATTTTGTCTTAAGATCTATGTGGATGGGTTTATGGAGTCCATAGCTTCTGAGATTAGTATATTTAGAGATATAAGGTCTAAGTTAAATGGTTAGATTGATCTATACCACTGAATTCATATAAGTTATGAGAGGTCTCGCTGTTTCATTTAGATCGCTTACTAGCTAATTCAAACCAAGGATAAAAATAAAATTCTCAAATATATAATTCTAATTATTTTTTTTTATGATGGTACTTTGGGATGGGAGAAAAATTAAATATATAAAAAATTAGTTATGTAATTGCAAAAACGAATTTAAAAAAATAATAATATTATATAATACGATTTAGAACTTATTAGGCCACCAAACACAAATTGGAAGGAACAAGAAATCAAACAAAAAGACAAGAGGAAGTGTCGTGATAATGAGGAAGCAAAAATTTAGTAGTTGGCATATTAGTAAGGGAAATATAAATAGAATATGTATCATATTAAAATAATAATAATGAAGAATTAAATGTTACAAGTTTTTATTAATCATTTTTTGATATATATATATATATACACACACTCAAGAATAATCATATGATCTACATGAATCTCAAGACAATCATTAAGGCACTTAAATATTAAAAAAAAATCAAAATCAAGGAAATCAATTTGAAATGTATGGTGGAGTGTTTTCAATTCTTGTTCAAATTAGCAAAATATTTATCCCAAAAAGCTTATAAATAGAGCCACAAGGGGAGACTTAATAGCTAAGAGAACTAAATAACTCTCTAGTAGTTTATAGCTAACACACCAGATAACCACTAGCTATCGCCGCTGACAACTACCGCCAGTCATTGCCACTATTGATGATAACCACCAACAATCACCACAATCATCCCCAAGGTTCTATATATCATGATCTAGCCCTATTATTGAGTTTAAATTATTTGTTTGTGGACATTAGACTTCTATAATCACTGTAAAAGTGATATGAAATATTTTCATATCAACTAGCCCTCTTCTTCTTATGAAACTATTCTTGTAACTCTGATTTATATTAGATCTTTTAACTAGACCAGGCCCCTGTAATTTTTTTTCCTTTCTTAGTTTTTCACATAAAAATACTAGTCTCTTTTATGTTTTACCGTGAATAATGAGTTTTTGTCAAAAGCTAAGACGTACATCTTCTACACACAAATTTTCATATATATATAATTATTTCGAATTTCATTTCTCAAAATGCATTCATTGTTAGATAATGCTTCATCAAAATTTAATTATTATGCGAGGATAATTTGAGGATTGAGCCCAAATAAGAGCAAGATTCTAATTATTTATTACTTAATTATAGGTAAATAAAACCTAAAGATTTTAAATTGTTCATGTCTTTTTTATTGATACGGTCAAATTAGGGGTCATGATAAATTTAGTAATTATTAGAGTATTTGCGTGCATGTTCAAATACTTTGTGCAATTATATGATTTTATTAATTGTCATTACATTAAATTTTAAATTGATTGGGGAACCCATCATAAATGCTAAAAATATGTAAATTTTGGTTCTAATTAGTTATTGGTTAGCTTCACTTATTTACTAAGTTTCAATGTCAATGAGCATGCAGCACACCCCCTGAAATTTCATTTGCACCTATCCAGTGCTTTCTCTTAAGCTCTTTAATTTGTTATAATTCTATATGAATTCGTAACTTAGATTTTATTTGAGACGGCAAGAATTTTTTGTAAAGATAATTGTAAACTATTATAAAAAATATATATTTTTTAAAAGTTGCAGTAAAAGCAGCTTCCTGTTGCTAATATTTCTTATAATTAATTTCATAATATAGAATTTTTTTAAAAAAGCGAGAAAGTAATTGTCAAATAATCATGATTGTGATTTGAAAAATAAAACATTAAAAAAATTATACCTGTTGCGTCCGGGAGTATTCACGGCGGTAGAGAAATATATAGTTTAACGTCTTAGCACTGTACGAAGATCCAGCACACAATCAGATAAGTGAGAGGGTGTAGCGTTCATAAGAGACACCAGAGTATTTACGTGAAAACCCCTGAAAAGGGGGAAAAATCACGGGACCTGACCCAATTTGAATGAATCCACTAGTATTTGTAGTCGATTACAAATGAGGCCTTCTTAGGGAGAAGGCCTTGGCTTGATGTCACAAATGTACATCATATAGAGTGTATTACATGGTGGGAGTTACAATAGATGTATTTGTTTTGTCAGCATGACCATAATCGATTGGATGGAGAGGTCGAAAAGATCGTTGTCTAGTGATGGAGGTCGGAAGGATCATAGTAGGAGATGGAGGTCGGAAGGACCGTAGTCGGCAGGAGACCGGGGTCTAAGTGACCGTTGTATGTTGATGGAGGTCGGAAGGACCATAATAGGTGACGGAGGCCGGTAGGACCGTAGTCGGCAGGAGACCGGGATTTGAAAGACCGTTGTAATAGTGAGATACTCTGGTAGAACTCTAGGCATCAGGTAGTGGCCCAGTAGAAGTCCGGGCCTCAGGTGGTGTCCTGGTTGAGCACAGGGTCTCAAGTGGCTGTTCGACGGAGCAATGACGTCAGGCGGTGGAACGATGGAGGTGAAGGCCTTCGGCGGTGGTCCGATGAAGGTGAGGGCCTCTGGCAAAGGTGAGGGCCTCTGGAAAAGATGAGGGCCTTTGGCGAAGGTGATGTGAGCCTCTCGCAAAGGTGAGGGCCTCAGGTGTTGGTGAGGGCCTCTAGCAAAGGTGAAGGCCTTTGGTGAAGGTGAGGGCCTCTGTCAAAGGTGAGGGCCTTCTTTGGTGATCTTAGGTTCGTTGGATTCGTCCCGTCGAGCCGTTCCATTCGAGTATAAGCTCGTAAAAATCGGAGACCATTTGGTAACTCAAATTGTGGTTTGAACCTTCCAACAGCGCTTC